CCGCTGAGCCTGCGCGTCCGGAGCCTGTGCTCCGCGGCGGGAGAGGCCATAACAGTGAGAGGCCTGCGTACCACAAAAAAAAAAAAAAAAAAAAAATAGAGCTGTTTCTGACATACACGCCAGACCTGTGCAGTGGGCTGGGAGCTCAGTACATCCGTTCACCTCCACAGTGGTCCTGTGTGGTGTTGCTGTGTGGTGTCACAGCCTTGCCGTCCCCACTTTGCAGATGGGAGACTGAGGTTCTTCTCCAGCAGAGCGGGTAGAACGGCTGGGCTGCGCGTTCCGCAGGTGCCCACAGGGAGAGAGGTGGTACTGATTTCATTCGTGTTTTTTAAAGGTTTATTCATATCAAAGTAATATGTGCACGTGATCTAAGAAAGCAGAAGATTCTGCAGGGCTGGTGATGACAGAACAGCCCCTGGCCACGCCCAGCCTGTCCTCACGCCCCTCGGCACCTACTCACCTTCTGGTGTCTCAGTTTCAGATCATCATACACTGACTTCCTGTGGGATAGAGGACTTGGCTTTTCCTCCCACCCCATCAGCCCAGCGAGGTCACATCAGAAGTGTTGGTTGATGGCCTCAGTGCGGCTGTGTGACGGCTACACTGCTCAGCCTCTCCCCGGCCTGCGCTCCCGGGAGTTACAGTGGCCCCTTCTCTGTTTGGTTAGGTCTCCTGGTACCTGGGACGACTGGCACATCCTTCCCATTTACATCATCACCTGGGACCCAGGCCTCCTCCCACCTGGCCCCGAGGTGCGGGGGGCGCCTCTGACCCTGGGATCATCTTCCACACCATCCTGGGCATCCCCTCTCTCCCAGCTCCCCAGTCTTCCCTTTCCTGATCTGCTCCTTCCTTTTATTGGACAACATCTTCTAGTCCTGAGGAAGGGGACAGGAGAGGCAAATTTTTTAATAAAAACTTCCACACCTGAAAATTATCATTATTCTCCATTCACACTAGGTAGATGTTTATCCTGGGTAGAGAGTTCTAGGTTGGAAACGTTTTTGCTCAGAACTGATGTCGCTTTCTAGCTTGGAGAGTGTCTGTTAAGAAGTCTGTTGCTCCTGTGATCCTGGCCCTTTTGTACATGGTGTGTCCCCCTGGGAGCGGGGGGGGGGGGGGGGGGCTTGGGTCTCCGGCATCCGCAGCACCGGCCCCGTCTCAGCGGGGTGCCTAGGAGGGGGCTGGACCTTTAATGGGACCCTTTGGATCTGAAGACTCACTTACTGCATTTCTAGGAAGTTATCTTCTTCTGTGACGTTCTCTCCCCCTGCGTACTCGTCTTCTTTTCCCACCTTGTTCTTCCTCTGTCCGTCCCTTTCTCTTTTCTGCTTTCTGCTTTTCTCAAGTTTCTCCTTCGGCCCTTTATTGAACTTTTGTTTCTCCTCTTTTTAAAACTTGTACGAGCATTTCCTTGTCCTCCAGATGTTCTAATTGTGTCCTGCTGTTGTGAATGCAGCCTCTTCACCTCTTCGGGGCTGTGATCCTGCCGCTTTGTTTTGCCTTCTCCCCGGCAACCCCCCTCCCCGCCGTCTGGCGTCCTCCGCGAGCCCCTCCCCTGTGTGTTCCCCGTGTCCTGTCTGGCCCAGCTGCCCTCCATCCAGGCAAACGAGGCACAGGGCCAGGGTGGAGGGTCCACGCTGCCCCCGCGCCTGGGCGGCCCACGTTCCCACCTCCATTTCAGATCCATTCCCACTTCCTTGTTTTTTTCAATTATAATTTTTTTCTGTTGAAAAACCCTTCTACAACTTGGAATCGATTTGAGGCAAATTGTGCCATGAGCAGATTTTCTTTAAGTGGCTGAAGCGCTTTATAAACAAGTAACAACGAGAGAAAATGTTTCTGGTGCGGGCCCAGCAGGACTTCCTTCCCGGGAGGCTGGCTCGGGAGGGGCAGGACCCAGAGCCTCCCGCCTGCGCGCTTTGCTGAGGCCCAGCCGGAGCCGGACCGCCAGGCGTCTGAGCGGGGCAGCAAGGGCCACACCGTGGGCACGGCAGGAGCCCGGACGAGGCTCAGCGCATCTCTGGGGACAGTGGCCTCTGGTCAGATCTGCTTTTCTCAGCTCAGGCTCTCACCCTCGCAGTGGGCCTGGGTGCTCTCTCTCCGTCAGGCTGCTGTGAATACAGGGTGCAGAGTGGTTCCAGGTATGTCTTGGGCGGTCACAGGAGTCATGTTCTGGACTGGGCCTGGACTGTCCCAGGGCCCGGCATGTTTGTCCTGGTGAGACAGTGGCCCAGATGCAGGGCAGCCACTGGCAGGACAGGCCAGCCATGAGCCATCTCCACTCCTGACCCGAAGCCCTCCTTGCCTGAACGGTAAGTGCGACTTAGGAATTGTTTTTCCGTAAAAGGGGGGTTGGGGGGGTCAGTGACTGACATCCTAAAGTGCATCTTCCACGTCGTTACCACTTTCAGCCTCAAGGTGGGAAGAATGGTGTTTATCGTGTGACGTCGGGTAGTTCCAGGCTGCTTGGCCTCTGCTGCTTTACCCCGTCCGCAGATCAGACTTCCCCACCCCGGGCACTTGGGGGGCCCCTGCAGCGGGCGGCTCTTTGCTGAAGCCTGGCGTCCCAGGGGGCCCGGCATTTCCTCTCCCCCACCCCTCTAGAGGTGACGTGTGTGTTTATGCTGTAGGAATCTTTCCTATTTTGCTGATTGTCAGGGACTTTGCAGAGGACTAGGAAGCTCCCTCGGGGGACACTCAGTGTCTTGGTCGGTTTCCCAGGGTGGGACACACCCCCCAGACGCCCAGACACCCCCCCCCCACACACACACACACCCCACGAGGCCCGCCTTTGACTCGCGTGTTCTCAGCCCAGAGACGGCCTGCTCACCTCCTTCCACCTCTGCTCCTTCCCTCCGGACGTGTGACGCCAGGGTGGCTGGGTACCAGGCACAGCCCTCTGGGCCGAGGCCAGCCTGCAGTGACGGCTGAATGGGGTTTATTGAGGTCTGTGCGGCGGTGTGCACGAACGCACGTTCTCCAGGCCGGGCCTGCTGGGCCCTCTGGGCATCAGCGGTGCCCTGTCCCCGCGGACGCTTCCCCAGGAAGGGTTTGTCAGCACAAGCTGGCGCACGTCGTAGAAAGTGGCGTGGAGGCTGCCCAGCCTCTCCTCCCATTTGCGAGCCTGCTGTTCATTATTTCCACTAGAAATCATTCTGTGGGGAATGACAGACTTTTCTCTGGGTTTTGCTTTTTGAGAGTTAGATATAAATTTTCTATGATCTTTTACAAAATATGGACTTGGGACAGGCCATGGATCCCCGGTGCCCAAGCCCAGAAGTCGCTGTCTGTCGTCTGCACTGGTCAGGGTGCCCCGTGGGTCACACAGGTCAGATGTCAGCGAGGTTTTCCCAGATAAGCCCTGCACTGTCTGTTTACACCAACCTGGACGTTTCCTGATCTGTCCTGAGGCCAGTGTGTTTTCGGGGGACGGTTCTCGCCCCCTGTGGTCAGAGCATGGGCCAGGCGTGGTGTTTCGGTTCACTTGTGTGCAAGTCCAGAAGGGGCGCTGAACGTGTCTGGGACTGGAGCTGGTGAACCGGCGCTTCTGTGCTGGCACGTCCTGCAGCACCACGTCGTTGGAGGAAGCAGGGCAGAGAGTCTTCAGGGACCCCCCTCCCCCCAGCCCCCATCAGGGCTGCACCTTCATCGAACCACCGTGTGCCATGGCATTTGGTCCCCAGGTGGATGCATTTGGAAGATCTGACGCTGAGTGTGTTAGCATGTTACTAGTAAGACGCTTCCTCTCCCCTCCTACCTTACTTTATAAGCTGGGGTTTTGTATGTTTCGTTCAAAATGAAATTCAGAAAGAGCCGTTTTTATTACTGCATCCTACCTTACGGTCGTTGGTTAAAATTTCTATACTCACAGGACTTACTCTCTCCATGTTTGGGGAGTCTAGGGGAGAGGAGAACAAGAATTCTCAAAAAAAAAAAAAAGATTCCTTAAAATTTCTACATAGGTTGCAGATTCCTGACCAAAAAGGGGTAATTACTGACTGTAGTGGAATTCACCATTCATATCACCTGCCAGGTTTCTCCCAGTCACAGTGTTTTATTTTTTCGTTCTTCCCTTCCCGTGTTTACTATCTCCTGAGCCCCTCCTTCAAAGCCACAGACGGCTCCTCCCTGAGGAGCTGGGCAGGGAAGCCAGTGACGGCAGCCCAGCCGGAGACGAGGCTCTGCGTGTGTGTCCAGGAAAGTGGCACAAAGAGCTTTCACATGAGCTTGACTTGTGGGGATTTGGGGGGCGTCTTGTCATTTGGACAATGGCGGGAACGCCTGGGTGCGTTGGGAGCATGGAGGGCGACTTCCGGGGGTGCTGGTGGATGCGGGCAGGCGGGGATGGGCAGAAGGAGGGGGGCAACCCCGGGCTCTCTGTCAGCTCTCAGTAGGGACACTTTTTACCTGGGTTTGGGACCCACTTTCAGAGCTTGTGAATGCTTGTAACTTACAGAATCAAAATTCCGACACGGCTTGAAGACCACGGTCCACCTTGTTAGCAGCAGGAACTGGGCCACGCCCGTGGCAGGCGGGCCCCCGCTGTGCCAGCTGCAGGGCAGCGGGGACAGACCGCAGACAGGTCGGGCCTTGCGGGCTGAGACTCGGAGTGGGAGCCCCGATGTTTCCCGCCCACGGATTGGCTTGCAGCTTCCAACTGGAGAGGAGCTCCCCGCCCCCACCCACCCCCCACCCCCGCCCGGACCCGTGGGTTGAGGCGGCGACTGTGAGGGTGGGCGCCGCGGGCCTGGGAACCGGTTGGGGAGGCGGGCACTGTGCTTCCCCGCGTCCTGGCCTCTCCTCGGGCGCCATCGTGTGGCCGCCACCTGCCCAAGTCCCCTGGCCGCCCTCGGTGCGGTGTCAGGACAGTGGGGATGGGGCAGTGCCATGAGCTCCGGCCACCCGCGCCGTCCGGGGGTCCGGGCATCCTGTAGCACCGGGCCCACCTCCTCGGCTCAGGGTCAGAACTCAGGACGTGTCCTTTCTCTCCGCAGTGTCCCCAACTCCTGCCCGGCCAGCCCCCGAGGGGCCGGGTCCTCCAGCTACCGCTTCGTCCAGAACGTGACCTCGGACCTGCAGCTGGCGGCAGAGTTTGCCGCGAAGGCCGCCTCGGAGCAGCAGGCCGACGCGTCCGGAGGGGACAGCCCCAAGGTCTCAGCCCTCAGCGCGTTGGCCAGTGACCGGGCGTGGGGTGCTGGCGTCCCTGCCCCTCCCTCCCTCGTCCTCCCCTCGTCCCGTCCACAGGGACGGGATGGCTCCGAGCGTAATTACAGTCTCTGAGAAGAATGTCAGGCTCTCGCCTTACAGCCTTGTCTTAGTTCATTCCCATCTGACAACTGTTTTTAAATCAGTTTGCAGAGGAGGTGAGAAATTTCAGAATTAAACTATGAATAAACCTCATTTTTACCCCCATGAGGGAGACACAGCTCTTCCTAGCTTAAACCACATGGATTAAACAAGAGGAGGTCGTGGGGATTGGTTTTAGCGGATACCCTGCAAATCTGCGCACTCATTGGAGGGTTTTCTCTGTGAGCAGGTGGCCTGGGGAGGGGGGGAGGGGGGGGGTTGGACCGGAAACGTCTTTCCGGGCTAACCCCACGCTGGCTGTGTCCTCAGGACGAGTCGAAGCCGCCGTACTCGTACGCACAGCTGATCGTGCAGGCCATCTCCTCGGCACAGGACCGGCAGCTGACGCTGAGCGGCATCTATGCACACATCACCAAGCATTACCCATACTACCGGACAGCCGACAAGGGCTGGCAGGTGCGGTGTGCCCAGGCCCCAACTTCACGACCCCCGGGGGCTGGGGGCTCGTTCCCCGGACGGCCGCGTCATGTCCAGAGTGAGCACCCGCTTGGGTCCGGAAACGTTCCCACGCTTGGTGCACCGGCTTCTCCTGAGCTAACTTGGAAACACGCTGTCCCCGCTCTTTCCAGACGGTTTCTTGTGTGGGTTCACAAGACCGTCGCCGGCCTTGGCCACAGCCAGCATGTCACAGCCGCTCAGGTCTCCTCCGTGGCCACTCTGTCCCGTTGGCTGGTTGGTTCAGTACGAGCTCTGAGCTGGGCGTCTCCCAGGCCAGGGTTTGTCCTTACGTTTCGCTTCCTGTGTAAGGGGTGGTCGTGAGCCTGTGCTGAATTTTCACAAGAAAAACCACTGTGAAACCCCTGTCCTTCCCCAGTGAGCTGCCCCCTGCCCCCAAGGAGGCCTCTCCGGCCCGGACCTGGGGCTGTGCTCTCCCGGCTGCTGTGCTCAGGTCTGACCCGCCGTGACCAGTGACTCCCTCTGCTTTGCCCACAGAATTCCATCCGCCACAACCTCTCTCTGAACCGCTACTTCATTAAGGTCCCTCGCTCCCAGGAGGAGCCCGGGAAGGGGTCCTTTTGGCGGATAGACCCCGCCTCCGAGGCCAAGCTCGTGGAGCAGGCGTTCCGGAAGCGGAGGCAGCGGGGCGTCTCCTGCTTCCGCACCCCCTTCGGGCCGCTGTCATCCAGGTAAGTCCCCGCCCCTGCGCCCCGGGGGCCGTGGCCACTCAAACCTCTTCACTGGATTTTGGAGAGACCGGCTCAGGCCGGGCCAGCCCTGTGACAGGGCGTGAGCAGGCATGGCAGCTGGCCCTCCACGTCGGTTCTCGGACGCTGGGATGATGCACGGTGGGAATGGGGGGAAACGGAGGAACGGAGGCGGATGAGGGCCCCCTCCCGCTTACCTGACTCGGACCACCTCTTACAGGCCCTGTCTCCAAGGAAGGCCCCCTTCTGAGGCCCTGGAGGGTAGGACCCCAGCATGTCTTTGGGGGACACAGTTCAACCCCGTGACCAACACTGCTTGTCACGTGTAGACAAGCCCGCCAGCCAGCTGGGGATAGTGACGGGGCCTGCGCTGCGTGTCCAGCGCTGCCCAGGGAACCCTGCGTAAAGAGTGTCTGTAAGGGGGCCCGTCCTCCAGGTCACACTGGCAGTTGGGAACCTGTTCTTGTGCTGGTAGAACTTGCACTGGGGCGGGTGGGGCTCGGGAAGGGAGTCCCCAGGCCAAGAGGAGAGCTCAGCCAGAGCTTGGCATGCGCCACGTCTCAGGGAGAGAAGGCAGGGGTGGCTGTGCTGCGGGTGGAGGAGCAAAGCCGGATTAGACAGGCCCCGATGGGGGGTCGGGGCCGCCACAGACGTGAGGGCCGGAGAGTGACCCAGTGGCCGCCAGGTTGAGCGTCAGACCAGTCAGGTGAGGCCGCTAGGCCTGGGTCGGGGACAGTCTTGCTGTCCAGCCCATCCCGGCAGTGCTCTGGGCAGGAGCTGGGCAAGATGCTTGATTTTAGACCAGGCGAAGTGTTCTGTGGATTACTATCTGTGCGAGACAAAACGGCTGGGCTCCCAGCGTGTGCTTTGCTCTCCGGGTGTCGATTTGTCCCGGGGGAGGTTGGTGCCCATCCCAGCAAAGCTGCTGGTTTTCACCCAGAAGCCCGAGCCGCTTTCCTGGGAGGCCGGCCTGGGCCTTCAGGAGGTAAACGCTCTGGATCGTGGCCTTCGCTGGGCCTTTACACGCTGGGTGATGTTACGTGTACCGGGCGGAGTGCCAGGGTCGGAAGTCCCTCACGAGGACAGAGGAGCATCAGGAAAAGTTGGGCAAAGGCAGCACGTAGGGCACGGGCGTTGAGACGTCTCCCGTTTTGATAAGTGCCGTCTTCGTTTCTTGTCATATGTACTCACTGCTGTGGTCCTGTCTCCCCACTCCTAGGAGCGCCCCAGCTTCACCCACCCACCCCGGGCTCATGTCCCCGCGTTCCAGTGGCCTGCAGACTCCAGAGTGCCTGTCCCGGGAGGGCTCACCCATTCCGCATGACCCTGACTTTGGGGCAAAGTTAGCTTCTGTTCCCGAGTATCGGTATTCCCAAAGCGCACCCGGTAAGAAGGGTCTTGTCCTCTGGTCTGATGTGGCGGAACTCGGCGCCGCACCCCACGCAGGAAGGGGGCACGCGGGGGTCTCCGCTGACCCGCATCCTCCTCCACAGGCTCTCCCGTCAGCGCCCAGCCGGTGATCATGGCCGTGCCGCCCCGACCGCCCAATCTGGTGGCCAAGCCCGTCGCCTACATGCCGGCTTCGCTGGTGACGGCCCAGCAGCCCTCGGGCCACGCCATCCACGTGGTGCAGCAGGCGCCCCCTGTCACCATGCTCAGGGTGGTCACCAGCTCCGCCAGCTCTGCCAACGGATACATCCTCGCCAGCCAGGCCTCGGCGGGGGCTGCCCACGAAGCGGCGGGCACGGCCGTGCTGGACCTGGGCAGCGAGGCGAGAGGTAACGTCGCCACGCAGTCCCTTGGCGGGGACGTGGGTCTCCAGAAGGTGGAGCCGTCAGCTTGGGCCAGGGGGGCTGCAGAGCCCAGGCGTGGGGCCCAGGCTGTCTCTGGGGGACAGTGGCTCCCGGGCTGCGGCCTCTCCGCCCCACTCCTGTTTTCCGGGAAGCGCGTCCTATGAAGCAGCACTGATCGTCCTCTGAAACGCTGCTCCCTGTGCGCAGCACCTCAGATGCCCAGCGCCCCCAGGTGCCCCTGGACTAGGTACGGGGCCTCAGCTTGGAGTCGGAGGCAGAGTCCTGTAGAACCCCCAGCAGGGGTCCTTGGGAGGCGTTCAAAGTAAAAAACAAAGGCCTGAGTTAGAAATCTGGATCCCAGGGAATTAATGAGGTAAATGTTGAAAATGCAACCAGTGCTGTCAGAGACCCTCGAGGGAACACTTTTGAATCAGGCAGCATCCTACTGGCCACTGATGGCTGATCTCAGCGGCTGCGTCTTCTGCAAGACCGTCCGAACGACACATGCGTTTTGGGGAAAGAAAACTAAGTTATGGCTCCAAGTGCAAATCCTTTCATTCCAAACAATACGCTTTTTTTCTTAGATTACATTTGCTTTGGTTAAAGCGCAAGGTATTTAAATTTTTTCCTAAAGCACTATTACTTGTTTTTCTCTTGTTTCAAAACATTCCATCACTGGAAGTTTTCTGTTGAGAACCAGGGTCTTTTCCCAGTGTCCCTGCTTCAGGGCCCCCTTCCCCACGTGGACAGGCTCAGGCTGAGACACCTGTGAGTGCCACCGCGGGTGCCATGAATGTGGCTCTGACGCACGCTGTCCCCGTAGGCTTGGAAGAGAAGCCCACCATCGCGTTTGCCACCATCCCTGCCGCCAGCCGAGTGATCCAGACGGTGGCCAGCCAGATGGCCCCAGGGGTCCCCGGACACACGGTCACCATCCTGCAGCCGGCCACACCAGTGACCATCGGGCAGCACCACCTTCCGGTCCGGGCGGTCACTCAGAACGGCAAGCACACCGTTCCCACGAGCAGTCTAGCCAGCAGCGCTTACGGTGAGGCCCTGCCCGGCGTCCACTTCCTGGCCTTCAGCTGTGTGGTTTGACCAGGGTCAGTGCAGCAAGAACATTTTCCCAGTTAAGGCAGTCATCCATTCAGTTTATCGAGCACCTGCTATGTGCCGGGCACTGGGATACGATGCCAGGGTAGCCCCGAGGGAACGGGCAAAATCCCCAGGTCACGGGGCTCACGCCCTGCTGGGGGGATAGAGGTCAGAGAGGGAAGTGAAAAGGCACTGGCACCCTGAGCGCCACGCAGGAGGGTGTGGGGAGGGCTGGGGAGAGTTCCTGGTGCAGGCAGGCCCTGCCAGAGGGGAGGCGGGAGCCAGCGGGGTGTCTAGAGGGATCCACACACAGAGGCAGCAGCCAGCAGCGCAAGGAGGAGACAGGGACGGAGGCCCCCGGGGCGGGGAGTGGGCCGGGGTCCGGGAGGGGCTGGCAGCCAAGCGCCGCTGCTGGCTTTGCCCAGAGGCGCCCAGCGTGCCGGGGAGCTGGGCCCCTGCGTCCCTCGGCCCTCGTGTGGCCACGCTGGCCTGTGTTCAGGACAGACGGGCGCCGCTCCCAGCCGGCCTCCCAACGTGACTCTTTCTCCTCCGCCCTAGCCCTCGCCAGCCCCCTGCAGCTCCTCGCGGCTCAGGCTAGCTCGTCCACCCCGGTGGTGGTCACGCGTGTGCGCGAGGTGGGGCCTGAGGAGCCAGCAGCAGTGGCAGCCACCAGCACCGCCGCCACCGGCGCCTCCGCTTCTCCCCCCGGGGAGCCCGAGCTCAAGAGGTCCCGAGTGGAGGAGCCCATGGGGACTGTGACCACGCAGGCCGGGGCGATTGCGGCCGCCGGCCCACAGGGCCCCGGGACCGGGGAGTGACGTCGCCGGCGTGGAGGTGGAGTGGGACACACGCCAAAAGGAGTTCCGGAGCTGGGCCAAGGCGGCCGACACGACCGCCGCTCGGGACCGAGATGAGAGGGCTCCACGCGGACAGAGCTCGGTGCCAAACGGGCAGGACGCCTCCGTCCACGTGCACCCGGACACACTCATCCTCCCGGCGTCTTATCTCCTGCCCCCGCTCTGGTTTAAAACAAAAACCCATAAAAACGTTCAGACAGCTGATTGTACGGTTCTGGGAATTCTTTGTTTTCGTTTCTTTCTCCCCCCAGCAGCACCTTTTCTCCCCATGCCTTTCGTCAAGGGCGTGGGGAGAAGGTTGTAGCTCAGCGTCTCCGGGACCACGTCCAGGCGGCCCCGACCCCGCACAGGAGCCAGGCTCCCAGAGCAGCCTTCGCCCCGAGGACGGGACAGAGATGCAGCCTGGTGCAGACGGGCCTCCAAAGGAGAGCACAGGCCTGGGGATCCAGCCTTGTTTGTAAGAGATTGGAAAGAGGCGAGAGAAAGGCAGCACCGCCAGATTTCAGACTGTCCTATGGCTTCTTCCCTAAAAGTGACATAGAAAGTATTGGCATTAATGGGACGGAGGGGAGGGGCCTGGTTTGGCTTTGGGCCCCAAGTGTTTCTGGTTTTGTTGAAACACAGAATTCAGGCTTCACTGTCAACCTGAGACAGACACAGAAGGGATCATCTGTTTTTGCGGTTTTCATCTGTAGACAGTTTAGCGGCCGTAGGTCTGGGCTTCTTACTGGCATTAATCTCACGGAGAGTGAACCTGCCGCTCTGTCTGTTAACTTCAAGAAAGACTGACGGCCTCCCGGACTGGTGTTCAAGGCAGAAAGCGGTTCACACAAAAGATCCACCTGAGCCAGCGGCTGCAGCGTCTGACCTGCGTCCTGGCCACACGGGGGACACGCGGCCACTGGTCCTTGGGGGAAGGAGGTGGCCGCTCGACAGGAGGACTGTCACGTCGAGTGGCCCCCGTTTCCCGGTGGCTCTGATGGCCGGCTGCCACGCGGCCGCTCACCAGGCTTTATCACCAGGTTCCAGTGTCTTCACCGCCCGACAGCCTGCCTGGCGTTTCCCATCGGAACCGTGTCTGCCGCCCGTGGCGCCGGAGGCCCTGGGCTCGGCCCACAGCTCGCGCCGGCTCGGTGGGACCCCCTGCGCCCCCCAGAGACGTGAGCAGAGCAGGGGGAGCCCGCAGTCCTTCGGCTTCGCTGGGAGAACGTTCTCAGGAAATGTTACGCACGTCTCTGTGAAAAGTGGCTTTCAACTTGGCCTGGCGCCCCGCGTCGGACCTTCCGCACGAGCTCCAGGGGCCCAGGTGGGAACGGTTCCTCCCACACAGAGCGCCGTCCGCATCAGGGCCCCGACGGCAGCGCCACCGCAGGGCCAGGCGTGGCCAGGTGCTCTAGCTGTCGCGGTTGTCCCCGCATGCCTGGCCCGGGAAACGCCTGGTCCGGCGTCCGCGGCACTGAACCCCACGTGGGAAGGAGCTCTCCTGTGACGTGGCCAAGACGGGGAGGCGTGGCGCCTCGGCCCTGTTCCCGCCCAGTGGTGAGAGGCGCTCACGACCCGCTGACGTTCTGTGCTGTGTCGCGTGGACTGTGTCTTTGGCCGCGCCTGGTGTGTGTGGGCGAGTGTGAGAGCGAGTGAGGCCGAGGCGGGCGCCCCGACGCCGGTGGCCTGGCCCACGTGGGTCCTCGGCCAGGGCTTCGGGGCGGCCATCGCTTCCTTCCCCTTCGTTGCTGCTCGGTCCCGGGGCTGCGCAGGCCTCCCGCAGGGCTTTTTGCTCGCAAGCTGTCCTCCTCGGGAGAGCTGGCGCCCCCCACGGGGGACAGACGCCCGGGACAGCTGAGGCCACGGGACGCCCTCAGCCCCGGGCCCCGCTGCTTGGTCTGGCCAGTCTGGCCCTGACCCTGTGCTTTCCTGACTTCTGAGCTTCTTTGGTTTCTGTCTGTTACCAGCGGCGATCCCACTGTTTGTTCTGGCCGTAGTTCAGGGAGAAGGGAGTGGAGGGGGGTGACTGGAACCGGAAGGGAGACAGGACAGGGTATCCTTCGGTGACATTCTGCCACGTGGAGAACTTGTTCCTTTTTTGCTCCTTCTGGGAAGGAGAAGAAGGGACCCTGTGGAGCCTGGCCTCGGGGGACCTACCACTCCAGGTTCACGGTATGCTTCCGGATGGGCCTTTGGTCACCTGACGAGATGGCATGCATGGCTCCTGCCAGCACTTGTCCTGGGGCTGGTAGCCAGGGGGCCCAGGAGTGGCCAGCTCCCCAGGGAAGACGCATGTCGCGGCCGGAAGGGTCGCCGATGTCCTCAGATGGTTCCACACCCCCTTCCCCCGCCAGACCCGTCCAGGGGAGCAAGGGCGGCAGGCCAGAGCGACAGCGGAGCCGCTGCCCTCAGGGCCCGGCGCCGCGGCCCGCCACAGGCATGCGCTGCGGCGCCTGGGCTGAGCCAGCCGAGGCTGGGACAGGAAGCGCAACCAAGTCGACCTGGCCTGATGGTCGTGTCACTGCAGCCTCAGGGCACCCAGGGGCTGGGATCTGCGCAGAGGATCAGCCAGGCGGGTGCGGCTCGGGGCGGGGCACTTGGGCCCCTGTTGTCACAGCGGCTCCATCTCTATCCGGGTACCTGGGTCCACCTGTCTGGCTGTGCTTGACGAGTCATCACCTTTACCAGTGCCAGATACAGGGAAACACGCTCTGCACAGGAAGGAAGTCAGGAAATCACTGCTCTTAAGCAGTTGAGTGTCTCCCCCAGGACAGTTGGGTGCAGCGTCGGAAGTGGGAAGGGCTGCACCTAGGAGCTCATCACTGCCCCGGGGTGAACACCGAGTGTCACTCGTCCGCCACCTGCGGCTTTCTCTCCACGCGAAGCTCCCGGTCACACAGCGCCGTCGAGGGCAGAACCTGTGATCAGTGCTCAGACAGTCTATCCAGCTTCACTTCTTCTTAGGTCCGTAAAGGGTACACAACCTGCATTCCCCATGAGATCAGAGTCGTGCTGGGGGGCGGGTCCCTAGGCCGGACACCGTCGTCTCTGACTCGCTCGCTGCAGGGGGGGCCTTCGGTCTCCCTCCCAGGGCCTGGCTGGTTCGTGTTTGGGGCTTGCTGTTTGTGGGAGTTTGGTGAAAGTGGATTTCTGAGTTGCTAAACGTGCATCGGTGATTCTCAAGCTGGAAGGGAGTGGGTTTGTGGGGGGCCCCCGGGCTGCCTGGCCCCTTCTCTGGACCTCACTGGTCCTGGCGAAAGACTAGTTCAAGGTCGCAGACATCGTTCAGCTAATGCTCTTACTTCCTCTAAAGGTAGCTCTGCGTGGACCATTCCGAGTGAGCTGTGCATCTCCTGGGGCGTGTTGTGAGATCTCTGTGGACAGAAACCCCTTTCTTTGGCCGCTTGGAGTTCAGAAGGAGGAGAAAGACTTTTTTTTTGGCTTTTTACTTTGGTCAGTTTCTTCCTTTATGCAGACAAAGAACAGACCAAACGTGAGCGCGTGTTAGAGAAGAGAGGTTTGCTCGCGGGGTTTCTAGGGCTTAGACTTAACATACAGTTGATGCGGGGGAATGAGCTGTTTTTCTCCAAATGCCTCAAGTTCTGCTCTGCCCTGGGATGGCTTCGTCTGGGACGAGGGACCGTCGTGCCCCCGGGAACGGGCTTCGGGCGCCACAGACCATGGCGGCCGCCCCTCGCTTCAGTGCCGAGTAAACAGTGCGCTGCTTGTTCTAGAATAAGTTACCCAAGATGATCACGAGGCTCTGCAAGTAGAAGCGGCCAGAGTTGCTAAACCGAGGCCCCGTCCCCGCGTGGCTGACGGTGAAAGTGGCTTCTCCACGGCTGCCCGAAGCCGCCCTCGTGATACCTCTGCCAAGAGACCATGGTGTTTAATAAGAGCATCATTTAAACCATTCACACGTGCTGCTGTAAAGGTGGGAGGGCCCGAGAGGGAGGGAGGGAGGCCCGGGGCTGGGGTGCGGTGGGCACAGCGGTGGTTTCTGTCCGTGGTCCTCAGGTTGCTTCCCCGTGTCTTAGAAACTACTCTCATCTCACAGGTTCCTTTCTCGAGGCCTTGTTTCCCACGTTAGGGTTCAAAATGCTCAGGACACAGCTCGCGCCATTGTGTGTGTACCCGCCCTTCCTGCCGGGGCCCCGCTTCTTGGGTTTTCTTTTACCACCAGAAGCAGCTCCCTCTGGGTCCAAGGGCGGCGGGTCTGGGCCCGACGCCTGCAGGTGTCCTCGGCCATCGGTAGCTGCGCGGCCCCTCGGGTGACCTTGTCCGACTGTGAGGGTCTCTGCGGAGAGCGGCCGCCCGCTCTGTCCGGCCCCGGAGTCACAGCCGCTCTGCAGCGCGGGGTGTGTGACACAACCACCAGCATTTCCTCCGAACGGGAATAGAAAACGGGCCGTCTGCCGAGTGTGTTTAGGGAAAGTAGTTTTTGCTCATATGCTGCAAAGAAAGGACGGTCACTTGCCGAGTTGTCGTGCCCCCAGCACTGCCGGGCTATCGGGGGCGTCTCTGCAGAAGGCCTCCCAGCCGGGCTCAGGCCGCAGCTCGGCCCTGCCTCCGCAGGGACGGTCCCCTCCTGCCATCAGACCGCATCCTGCTGCGCCACCACCGTCTCCCGGCCCCGCCCCCCCCCCCCGCGCCTGCCCCGGGGACACAGGGCAACTCAGCAGAAGAGAGAGGTTGGAAGGATTGTTGCCTCTGGGTGTGACGAGAACCCCGTGTCCCCATCACATCCGAGTGGATGTCTGAGCAGCCGCTGTGGGAGGTCCAATCTGTCGGGAAAACTGTCCCTGTTCCTGACCCGAGCAGCACGGTGCCCCTGCCGCCTGCTGACGGGAGGCCTCCTGCGGACCGGCCGCTGGCCAGGATCAGGGCGCTGGTGCTGTGTTCTCACGCAGGGCTGGAATGAAGAACTCCTCGAGCGAGTGAGCCTCAGGACCCTCAGTGTCTTTTCCTTTCCCTAACGGTTTTCGCTGCTCAGTGTTTTAGAAGAGAATGGAGGCGGCACTTTGTTTCTAGGCTTCTTTCTTTCTCTCCAAGGAGGAGCCCCACTCAGAGGATTTCGTTCATTCCTTGTACCTGCTTACCATGCTGGTAGCGATTGGGAAGAGGTCGAGAGAAGACGAAGCGGACACGCTTCTCCACTTGGGCTGACGTGCCCAAAACTGGCTGCACGGGGCCCGCACCCCCGGCCGGATGAGCCAGGGTGTCTTCGGTTTATGCCTCTGGGTTTTAGTCTCCCTTTCGCGTCCAAGGGAGACGTGAGAGGCCTCCAAACTACTCTCACCTTTCTGCCCCAACCCGGTTATTTTAAGAGTCAAGATAGAACTGGAAGAATTCCAGCTCATTATTCTTTATTTGAGAATCTTTTCCGGAACCGTTGGCTCATTTGATTCGTCCAAATACTTATTGATGGTTTACTCTGTGTCAGAAACAGTAAAAAGTGCAGGGGAGGCCAGACCCTAGAGGGACATGGCCATTTAGACCTGCGGTTAACGTTCCGGTGGTCTGACACTTTAAAAAGATTCTGTGCTTCCTGTGTAAAGGTTTTCTTACCTGCAGTAATAGGACTTGCTCCTCTGAGCTGTTGCCCAGAGCCACGAGGAGTGCTGTGACCTGTCCCCAAATTCTGAACGTATTGGCTGAGCTGGAATGAGGCCTGTGACTCTGAAATGGAATTTTTGTGCATGAAGTTAACTGGCCTAAAGGGGATCGAACTACACCTGTGGCCTCTTAAGATCTTAGCCTCTAAATTTCTGGGTTAACTGGTCCAAAAAATTTTTTTTAATAAGTAAAAATAGGATTTAAAACTCCCAACACTTTAAGTTTGGCCCTTACCTCCTCCCCTCCCAGCTTCCTTTCAGGAAGGGCTTTCTGAATACCTTGTAGCCCAGAACTGGCTCGATTTCTAGCTCAGGACGGGGATCCGGGAGGAAAGAAGAAAGTGTGTCCCTGCTCGTGGCTTACACTCGGGCCCTGACCTTGGGCAGCTTGGTGCACGTGGGGGAGGGTTAAACCCAGCACGGATTGTTCCTTCTTCTCTGACTGAGAATTCTCCTGTAAAGATCATTTGGGGGGGGGGGGGTGTTGTTAGGGGCGTGTCTGTGTGAGTGGTGGTTGTTTTTTTTTTTTAATGGTGTCTGTCTAGAGTATTTTTCACAATATGTTTAATCGTCAGTGCTTTAAAAAGTGGTGGCACCCTGTACAGTGAATTAGGTCCCAGAGCGTTGGATGGGAAGCTGCACCACCTGTGAGTGTGATGGGGCCTGTGGGACACCCAGGAGGGTCGGCACAAACCCCGGCACGGGGACGAGAGGACGGGGTGGGGCCCACCGCAGCTGGGCCGGCCTGCGTTTTCATTTCAAATGGGATACAGTATTTTTTTTAATAAGGAGCCATACTTTTTTTTTTTAAGTTTGAGATCTGAATGTGATTTCTAATTGTACCAGACGTTAATGTTTTAAAGCTGTAACAAAGTTTAAAATTTCTACTTTTTGTTTCTCATTTATTTTAACTGTTCTTTTATCTATTAAATCGTTGTATGTGGATAGGGAAGTTTTGTTTCTCCTCTTAGCATTTGTTTCTATAACCAGAAATAAAATTATATATTAAAGAAACGACACCGGACTCTGTGTGGTCTTGGGAGCGGCAGCTCCGCCCCCTCAGCTGCGGGGAAATCACCGCCTGCTCTTTTCGGGGCGCTGCTGGATTGACAGTCACCGGAGGGGGGCGCTTGGGCGTTGGTGCCGCAGACTGGCTCCGACCTGGGGTTTGTCACAAATCCATGATCCTCAAGGTTCCCTCATGTTTGTGCGTGGGACTCATCCCCTCGTTCAGCTGATAACGTGCCTCTTTCTCATATTTCACAGTGGTCCACGGTGCTGACTAAGGTTTGAGCACTTCTCTTCCTCCCGCTTGTGCTCCACCACCGCTCCAGCTGAAGCCTTCCTACAACAGGGACAGATTAATCACAGGTTAGGATTTTAGCTAGAGAGCAAGCAAGAGTGAGAATAATGAGTTTTAGGACTTATATTGGCTAATTAGCATCTTTTTTAACAATTTCCTCTTTTATTTATGTATTTATTTATGGCTGCGTTGGGTCTTCGTTGCTGTGCGCGAGCTTTCTCTAGTTGCGGTGAGTGGGGGCTACTTGTCATTGCGGTGTGCGGGCTTCTCACTGCGGCGGCTTCTCTTGTGGAGCACGGGCTCTAGGCGCCTGGGCTTCAGTAGTTGTGGCTCGTGGGCTCAGTAGTTGTGGCTCACGGGCTTAGTTGCTCCGTGGTACGTGGGATCTTCCCGGACCAGGGCTGGAACCCGTGTCCCCTGCACTGGCAGGCGGATTCTTAACCACTCCGCCACCAGGGAAGTCCTTAATTCGCATTTTTAAAACTGTTTTAAGTTTTGTTTTTGATTAAGACAATCATTTCTCACTAGTAAGACCTTAAAATAGCATTTTACACAAATGTACGTTTTGTAAGAAATAGTCAAATATTACCCTCGGTAATATGACTTGGGGTGTGTGTGTGAGTGTGTGAGAGCACATAGTTCTCAATAAAAGTTAAGCTACCCTATGAACCTGGGTGAGTACCAAAGACAAGTGAGCGCATATCCCCACCTAAAGCCAGGTTGTGCATCGCAGCTGTAATCATTATTGCCGAAATTTGGAAACAAACCAAATATTCGTCAAGAGTAGAACGGAGAAGTTGTGGTAAACTCATACAGTCACACACTGATCAAGTACACGGCAGTAAGAGCTGCAGTCATCCTACAACAGATGAGCCTCACGGCATCCCCGTGAAGGCAAAATGCAGTACTGTGGGTTCCATTTGTATGAAGTGTAAAAAGAGGCAAACCTGATCTCTGGTGATGAGAGCGAGGCTAGCGGCTGCCTCTGGGGAGGGGAGCCAGCGGGGAGGGGGAGGCGTCCCGAATCCTGAGTCCTGGCCGTGGCCACTCAGGTTCACAGCGAGTGCTGGGGCCAGCTTGCGAGAGCTGCATGTTCAGTTTTCAGGAATTCTCAGAGCTCACTGTTCACCAAAGTCATTATTAAAATTTTACTTACGTAAACTTAATACTGTAAAAAAGATTACGTTAAGACCCAAGGTAATAAATACTCAATTCACAGCTCCTTATTATTTTACTATTACTGCTGCTCTCAAGGTTGTTCGTGTGGATCAGGCCCGCGGGGTGGACAGACCGTCCAATGGGGCGCTGCATACTGTGTATCTGCTCCCAGCTGTCCAGCGACAGCACGCCGGCAGCTTGAAATTCGCCACTGTGGGAGTGTTCACACCACGGAAATTATCGAACACTGCAGATGGGCCTCCCCACACCCACAGCAGAGCCAGTTAGCGGTTTACCAGCAGACCACGGAGTCACAGAAGTGAGACATCACTGAGCTCATTTCAGATTTGTGTGCCTTATAGGTGTTCTACTTTAATAAACTCTGTGTGTGTGTGTGTGTGTGTGTGTGTGTGTGTGTGTGTGGCTGTGAAGCGGTATTCGAGCTCCTTTCCAGGTCTCACACTTTGTAGGTCCAAAGGCAGTTACGTTTGCGTTTGATTTGTAGGCCACGGCTCAAGTAAACCAGCAAATTCCCACCAAAACCACGTGTCATCATGGAGCGACTGTCTGGTAGCTTCAGACCCAACTTTCTGTGCTGTTCCACGATTCCAGGGCTGGGCCTCTGCAAGCCCGTCTCTGCTGTGCCGGCTCCTCCCTGGCGGGCGGCCTGACGCGGGGCGTTGGCGGGGCCTGGAAGGCCGGAGGCTGCTTCCTGTTCTCCGCGGCTTTCTTCACCTCCAGGAAACGTCCTGGCAACAGCAGCTGGCAGCAGTGGGTCGTCCCAGCCCATGGGGGCCTCCTCCCAGGTCAGTCTCAGCTGTGCGGGACCGCTCGGCCCAGCCGTAGGCTTTCACCATCCCACCCTCTTCCCCCTTGTTCCCCCAGCGTTAGGGGCAGCTGCTGCCTGTGCCCCTTCTGTTTTTCCACACCCGGTTGCAATTTTTTTTTTTTTTCTTTTTTGCGGTACGCGGGCCTCTCACTGTTGTGGCCTCTCCCGTTGTGGAGCACAGGCTCCGGACGCGCAGGCCCAGCGGCCATGGCTCACGGGCCCACCCGCTCCGCGGCATGTGGGATCTTCCCGGACCGGGGCACGAACCCGTGTCCCCCGCATCGGCAGGCGGACTCTCATCCACTGCGCCACCAGGGAAGCCCATGCAATTATTTATATTGAATCTTCTAATGAAATACCTGCTTTGCATCCCCAGACGGGCCTCCGACAGACGCCAGGTGCACGGAGTCCGTGCTGACCTCGCTCAGGCCTCCCTGCAGCACCTGGGACTCCCGCTTCGCTGGCCACTGCTCAGCAGGCAGCGGGCAGAGCGGCTACAGGCGTTGACCTGGAGTCCGGGTGCTGGTTCCGGTCCCTCCTCCGCCTGCACGTATGAGGGCCCTTGGCCAGTCTTTTAGCTTCAGCCAGCTCATCCTTCAAAATGATAACAATTACGCTCTCCTCAGGGCAAGACGGCCATGTTAGGTGAGACGGCCAAGGTGCGGTGCTCAGCAGGCTTCCCAGAAAGACGGCCTGTAACCAGGCTTCCTTTGCCAGTTCCCTTCCTCTTCACCCTGGGGCTCTTCGGGGGGCACCCGCCTCGCTCCACGCGCTCTCGGGGCAGATGCGTTCTCACCGCCTCACCCGCCGCCACTGGCTCCCGGCTCTCCAGCCTCAGCACCAGTCACCCGCAACATCTCCACTTGGGCGCTGTAAGAGCATCTCACCGCCCCGCCCCCGCCCCGCCCCTCCATTCTGGGTCTTCCCCACTGCTCATCCCTCCAAGGCCTCCCTGACCCTCCCTAGCCAAAGAACATCCAACTTTCCCTCAACCCTCTTCTCTTACTCGGCTTTATGGCCCCTTCAGAGCATTTCATCACTAGGCTTACGTGTGTGATTGTATATTTGATAATGGTCGTTTTTGTTGGCTGTAAATTCCATGAGGGCAGGGACTTGGCCTCTCGCGGTCCCCATTCCCCAGAACCTAAAACACTACGAGCACAGCACAGGGACTCAGTCGTTGCGTGTTCCTTGAATGAATGACTCCACAAACCTCCTCAGACTCCTGACCCGAGGTCGAGTGAATGGCGCCACCCCATAAGCAGAAACCTGCTATTGCCCTTGGTTTTTCCGTTCTTCCTCTCACCCAAGTCCACGTTACCAGGTGCTACAAATTCCCCCTGAACGGTTACTGAATCAGCCTACGTCTCCATTCACGTGGCCCTTACCTAGCTCAGGGAGCCTCCCTCCCTCTCCGGGGCCAGCCCTTTCTCTCCACCCACCCACCCCACGGCCCCCCAGTCCATTCACTACTCTGCTGCCCAGCAGCAGGTTTCCCCTGAGGTGCATGTAAGCCACAGGAAGCAGGCCTTCGTGCTCCCTTCAGGAGCTTCGCCTAGGCCATCCCCTCCCATCCCTTGGTCTGACACCCTCTGGGCTCATCTTAGGCACCTGTCCTTCCCGAAGCATTCCTCCTGTTTTAGGCTGTAACAGCATTTACCACGCTGGATTGTCACTGCCCAGAGGACCAACCTGTGTCCCCGCGCAGTCTGCAGGGTGGAAATACTGTGGCCAACACACCTCTCAGAATTACTAGAAATTGACCTTCCCTCTCTGAGCATGTTGCCTTATCTGTAAAACGAGATACTGACAGTCTGTGATTATGGTGGGGATTGAATAAGATTTTTTAAAGCAGCAGGTACTGCCTACGTTGGGTGCAAAATGAAATGGGAGCTTTAAAAAAGAACTTCTGACAGCTGCAGCTGTTCCTTGCAAACTGCAGGACACGGACCCAGCCCACGACCGCAGTCTGTGTAGTATATTCAGGCCGCACTGAACACGGGACCTGCAGGCGGCGGAGCGGACTGTGTTCATGGAGCAGAACCTAGAACTGGGGCGATGAGCTGAGGCCCAGCGGTGACAGGCCGCTCCTAACAGCTCCCGGGCACCCAGCGCCCGGAGCTGCACCGGGGTGCCGGGTGCCATGGTTCCGGGGTGCGGAGGTTCCAGGGTCTCGAGGTCCCGGAATCCCGCGGTCCAAAGTGCCGGAACGCGACCCAAACCCAGCCCCGACCGGCAGCCCTCGCGCTGACGGCCCCGGCCCCGGCTGAGACGCTCCGTCAAAGCCCATTGGTCAACGGCCTGTGCGTCCCTGCTCACGTGATGCACCACGGGCCGCTGCACGGGACGCGACCCGGAAGCCGGCGTTGCTGCGGGCTTTTCTCGGCGGCGACGGCGGCGGCGGCGGCGGCGGCGGCGGCGGCGGCGGCAGGATGTTCACGACGGGGGAGGAGAGTCTGCTCCGCCAGGCCAGGTGCGCCCGAGCTTTTCCCTTCGGGCACTTGGTGGTGGGTCTCAGAGCCGGGCCTGCGCGCGGCGACTCGAAAGAGCCCCCTTTGAACCCACTTTAGAGACTCAGGTCGGGGAGGCCACGCGGGCCAGGCACGGCGTGAGGAGGTCCGGGGAGGGTCGAGCTGGTCCCCGGAGGAGGTGGCTCCTGAGAGCGCTCTGAAGGATGAGTGGAAATGAAGTGGGGTGGGCCCCCGCTGATGGATTGGCCAAAGGCTT